TGTATAAGAGTGTGCGTGTGTAAGAGTGTGCGTGTGTGTGTGTGTGTGTGTGTGTGTGTGTGTTTGTTTGCAGCTTATCTTTTCCATGCTCTTCTCACCAAGTTTCTTTGGTCTCAATTGGATGTGAAAGGAAATCCCATGTCTGCAAGGCTTCCACTACAGGCACAGACCTGTGTGTGTGTGTGTGTGTGTGTGTGTGTGTGTGTGTGTGTAAAGCCTTTACCATGCCACAGTGGATTAACCACACAGTGTGAGCAGTAACACTGAGGCGGTGAAGGAGAGATTCAGAGAGAAAAACAGAGAACATGAACCACATAGAGGATGGGAGGAAGAGCGTTTAAGATTGATGGGGGAAGGTCTTTAATTCCAAAACACAACATATTTGGCTTAAAGAAAAAAGAAATGACCACCACCTTTTAATTAATCCTCAATTCAAAAACTCAGATTATTACAACATCATAGTGTCTCCTCGAGCTGCACTCTTACAGCAACTGTCACATGTCTGCATAATGGGTTTAAGATAAGGTGAACCCTTTGGAAACATTGGCAGGGAGAGAACAAAGGCATTTTAAGACTACTAATAACTGATGGTTGCTTTTTCATTTGAACAATGTTAAAAGCTCATAGTTTGCGCCTCTGTTTAAAAGGAATACTCCTTCTGAGCACTATTTACAAGACACCTGCAGCAATTCAGTAAATATGATACTGCTTTTGGAGTTTTGCGGGTATGAGGCTTTGCCATGTTGTGGCATGAGTGTTTGGAACAAACTGATCACACAGATTAACAGTGGAGAAGTGGATTATGCAGCAGGGGTCTGACACGTTTCTATGGATGGTATGCACTGGGACCAGGGCTGCAACTATTGTTTTTATAATCTGTCAGTGTCAGAAAATATTGAAAAATGCCCATCACATTTTCCCAGAGCCCAGGTTAACATCTTTATAATGTTTGATTTGAACAGTCTGAAACCCAAAGATAATAAATATAAAACAGAGAAAAGCAAATACTCACATTTGAGAAACTTGAACTAGAGAATGATTGACTTTTCTGCTTGATAAATGAGTCACCTTTCAAGCCTTCAGCGCTCAGTTTTCAATAAGATAGATTGGGTTGTCCTTTTACGGCTTTACATTTAAATATTCACATGGAAAGTACTTTGAACCAAAGTCGTTGTACTATCAAAGTGTTTGGTTTCCTCTTTCCCCAAAGAATACTGTTTTCCACACTGAAAGAGCTCTCACACATTAGTTAGATCACCTGGGGTACAGATCAAAAGACCAGATAATGCTTTTTTAGGTGGCTTCAAAGCCAGACTACATCTTGCCATTTCATGTCTTTGCTACAAGTTTCAGGTTTGGTTAACATTTAGAATCACCAAGAAGCATCAAAATACTGCAGACGTGTATCAGTCTGTCCAGATACTCAACCAAAACAGTCAGTGAACTGTGAGCGTTCAGAGGAGGGAAGTTATTTTCACCAATAGTTTACATATAAATACCTTGTGGTCTAGTTTTGAAGGGCCACCTGAATTGTGTCCATAGAATTAAGTTTGCACACATCCGTGTCACTCCGAGACAAACAGGGTTCGAGTTATAATCTGAGCTTCGTGGGGGTCTCACGCCCCAATTACACCTGGTATTAAAATGCGATCTGAGACAAATCGGATACAGATCGCATTTTACCGGCATAGATAGATAGATAGATAATGAGAGAGAGACGCAGAGAAATCATTTCTTATTACGTGATTCAACATTTCCCTTTCTTACACATACGAAAACGCACACACACACACACACACACACACACACACACACAGTAGTCCACTACTTGCCCCAGATGTCTGCAATATTGCAACAAAGTTTAATTTTCAATAACCTGTTCAAAAGACTATTGCTCAAGGAGAGACGCAATTCCGCCCTTTATGGTAGGTATCATAAAGTGTTATTATTTTACTCGCTGCTGGGTGCCGGCACACATTAGCGAGCATATTTTCAAATAAGTTCAAGTTACCAAAGTCAATCTACTGACCCTGGACAGTTTAATGGCTGCATCAGGGTTGTTAAATAATATTATTACTTAACAGCCCTGGGCTGCACAACAAACGCCAACGAGCAAATAGATATAAATAAAAAGTTCTAATAATTCTAGCCTTTGTATGTGGCTTAGCAACCGTCATGCGCTACGTAGCCTACCGGCAGCCTGGTGGAACTAAAGGAAATGTCTGTTCATGAAATAAAGTCAAATTGTAGTGCGTCTGTCAGCCTACTTTCATTAAATTTGTTTTTTCTTGGTTAACAAATTTGACAGTTTCCAAAATGGCTGCAATGATTTTCCACAGCAAAGATTAATGAGAACTCAAAGAGCAAAATATTCATCATGTCAAAAAGTCTATTTCCACCAATATTTTTATTTTGCCAAACCTCAATGGGGGGGAAAAAATGTGAAAATTGCGGTCTGGCATTGGAAGGCAACTTATCATGCATCCTTGAGTGGAATCAGATCGATGTTGCATAAGAATAATAGCCAGTATAGTGTTGCTCAGGTCCACTATAAATATGGAGTCGGGTAAACATCCATCATTATCAGTGTTGGACACACACTGACAATGGTATTATTTTTAGCACAGGGCTTAAATTGGTCAAAAGATAACCAGTCTTACCAGTTTAGCAGCGACTCAGTTTGTTATATAACAGTATGATCCATGTTGAAACATGAGTTGAGCATTCAGTGTTGTTTCATAATGTTTCATCATTACTTGCACATTGTGATGCTGTTCTTACCTCAACCTGGCAGCCGCTCGCCTCCTCCCTGCTGTTCAATAAGGCAGCGACTCCTTGCAAGTCATTAAAGGGAGAGAAAGCTCAGCTGCACAGCCTTCAGCTCACTGTACCGCCCTGCTCTCATAGCTGGCATTTCTCAGATAAGAACCAGCCAGCACAACTGATTTACAAGGCTCCTCTCTCCTCCCTCTGTGTGAGAGTGTGAGGGTTTTCGTTGATTTAAAAGACTCAAAGTGTAATAAACTATTATGAAATACTCCGCCAGCAAAAACACATCAACCTGCAAATCAAATCCCAGCATTCAACACTCGTTCTGCATCTGTCACACAGCAGAGGTGTGTGTGAGAGAGTGTGTTTGCAGTATATGCAGGTTTCAGTTTGGATATGTTGAAGCTAAATCTTTCTCTTCATCCTCCTGTGTTTTATTTACTTTTAATTTTTTTTCCCTTCCCGGTTGTGTATTATGTTTATTCTCTAGTGTTCCTTTAGCTCATTGGGTTTACTTCACTCCCATTCATTAACACACTCATAATTCTCTTCTCCCTCCTTCTCTCAGCAACAGTCATTTGATACGGGCATCAATATTACAGGGGGGAGGAATTCCAAGAATGCAAGCGTTAACTCCTTTTTTTATTGGATTTCCAGCCACCGGGGCTCTTCTGAATACCACCCGTCCCAGAGTAACTTAACGCCGAGCTGGAAAGTGTTCATTTCACTGGCCTCATTTGGTTGAAACGGCTAACAGTGATGTCATAGAGTACTAGCCACACCCTGAGTACACTTCTACATCACATTTGAACACTTCTTATTACTTTACTAATGAAATTTCAGTGACGCACAGGCTAATGAGATGTGGACATAAACCGCACTTGTTCTCGAAAGTGGGTTTGTAAAGTCCCAAGCACACTCTGCAATACAGAAGGTTGTATTTACTGTTGGATAGATGCAGGATCAATTGGCAGATGGTTGGATAGATGAATAATATCCACTTAATCCAGTCCTTCCAACTGTCCCTTCTTTCCTTTTACTAAGTCACTCGACTTTGAAAGAGACGCAAAATGTTCTGCACTGAGAAAAGTAACTTATGTAAGCTGAATGAACAAAGAAATTAAAAATGGAGTTTGTTGATTTTGTTGCGGTCTTGACGAGATTGTGAATAGATGTTTATTGTTAAATAGTGACAGCTTAATAAATGGTGACAAATTCTTGGCAGAGATTGGTGGGCTCACAAGCACATATTATTATAGTATTTATTCCCCATTTCACTTTTAGTCACTTTGACATGTCACTTTGAAGATATAAGTGAATGTAATAGCAGCGATATGTGGTATGGTTTTATTACAACAATGGTAAATGTTTTTTAAAAATCCTTTGTATGTAGCTTAATGGAAATTGGTCCTACATAAGATCTTGGATGTCTGTACCATAGCACACCATGAAATCGGTTTAATCAATGTTAACGGTGAAGCTCTTTGTTAATCTGAGCTTGATCACCCTGCCAGACTGTGCAGTTAAGTGTTCTGAGTCATGGATGATTGGTAGTGTAGGTGGTTGATTAGTTTGGTCCAGATTACATGGACCACTGAAGTCTGATTAGGCTGAGTCATAGAAAAAGTTGGGGGCTGAGTGTTGCCTCCATTAAGTGCAATTAATTTGCATCTCTCTGTGTGCGTGTCCTACTTTGTCAAGTGACAACCCCCTCCACACACACACACACACACTCCTTTTAGCGGAGGTGGTGTATGGGCGTTGTCTCCTCTAAATATGACTTCCTCGCTGTTCCTATCTCCTGAGTTTTTAACTGCTTCTCTGCGTAATTAACCTTCCTTTAAATGGGAGTTTGTACGTTATGGCTTCAATTTTGTTCATTTACGTGTTTTAAATTCATCAGGCTAATGAAACGCTTAACAAAACCCATTGGAGGATTCTTACAAAACTCAGATTTAAGGTAAAAATAATTAGCTGAGGATTTCACCAAGCAGTGATGTTTTTAATGTTAAAACTGTCACCTGTTCTGGTTGTGAGCCGTGAATTTATGTTTCATGTCAGTATTAATAAAGATGTAAACCTTTGGCAAATTAATGTAGGTCCTCTGTTGAGAGGAGTTTTGAATAAAATATAATGGATTACTTTATTCAAATGAATATTCTCGAATTCTAAAGAAAGCCTAATTTAACCAAACTGGTAATTAACAAATGCAACTTTTGTGCATTTTGTAGGAGAGGAGAGTGAGGTGGTTTATGTCATCAAGAGTTCAACAGGCCTGAACACTGAACAGGTAAGACTACTGTACTCTCTTTGCTTTTTCACATCTCTTCTCTAATCTTGCTCTTCAAATAATGTCTTCCTAGTGGTTAGGGCTACTTTTTATTTGCCTGGCCTAAACAGTTTTTTTAGTTACTTTTTAAAATTTAATTATTTATTTAATTTCACAGAGCTTGTGGACAAACTATATAATGATGACCCTGCTTCTAAATTACAGCAAACATATTTGGCAATTCTGTTCAGCTATTTCTTGCTTACTTACTAATATTGGCAGAATCAACTGGGATCTACTAGTTTCCTCAGTTTATTGAAACTTTTTTTAAAATTTGGTTGGATTTTTGGTTTGGCCTTGGTGGTAAACTGTGCCTAATAATTACGACATGAATTAGGGAATGGAAGATGATTTCCTTTACTAACAGAATACTTGAAACTGAGATCATTATTGATAAATCATGCTAATATCCCAAATGTTTGAAAACTTCTCAATAACAAAATGTGTGTAGTTCTAGTAAGTTCATGGGGTAGTTAGCGTGGCATGCTGTTTTATTGATAAATTCCTACCCTCAGACAAAGGGCTCCTGCTTTTCTTTCTGTATGCTATGTCATATTAAATTCTCCTAAAAGCAGTTCATTAAACTGTAATCGCTGTGTCAACACATAGTTTTGCAAAGCTGTTATCTAATTATTTGGCCTTATAACACACACTATTTATCTTGTGTGGAGCCTTGAAGTGTGTATGTGAGTCAGTGTAAACAAATGGCAGGATGTCAGAGTGATAGAAAGCATACAGGAAGACAAGTGTCATAATACCACTGACACAGGAAGTAGTTCAGCTGTAATAATATGAAAAGCATTTATGGAACTGTGCTGATGTTTATCACAAACATTCTTTAGGACAACAGCAAGCGGGCTATTAATATTTAACAGTGTATACTTGACAAAGTTAAATCTGCTGTTGCCTACAGTAAGTGGTAACTGTTTGAAATGGAATGTCTCTTCTCTGCTACTTTACTTTAAACTGGAGGTTTCCCCTCTCATAGTTTGGGCTTACTTTCTTGTACTAGCAAAATATGTCTGTAGCATTTAGTATCAAACTGTCAATTACTGAAAGCGTACTCTGAATGTGTGGTTAGATTTGTAGTCTTGTTTACTTCCTGGATCAGATAGTTCCTCATTTAAATAATATTTTTAAACATTTAAATAACAAATTTAAAATAACTATTGCTTATGTTTAGATAACATTTAACTTTGGCTTCTTTTGAATAATGAAAAATAGGGTTTGGAGAGAAATACTTTTAAATTTCTCAAAGTAAGGTATTGTAAAAAGTATTATTTTGGTAATGGGCACAACTGACTAATAGTAAATGGCATGAAAACTTAAATCTTTAATATTTTGTTTTGCATTGAACTGATATAAGTTTAGGGTTCAGTATATTTAAATTTATTTACAGACATAATGTGTTGGTGCACGTTTCTATGCAGATGACACCCTGCTATATCTACATTTAAAGCTTGGTTAACCTCAGCAGCCTTGACAAGACTGAATGCTCTTAACCAAGAAATGTGTGCACCTCAGTGACAAACAGCAGTTGTTTTTAGTCTGAGTGTGCAGTAGTTGTTTGTGTCCCATGTGAAACCAAATGTCACTGTTGAGTAATTATTTTAACTCAACAACTATCTTTTCCTAAACCTAACTACCCTGAAAATAATAATTTAACTGAGTCTGAAAAAAAAAGAGTCAATATTGCCTTTTGGCTTCACTGGGTGAATGTTCTGTTTTTGACCTATTCATCCACCAGAACCTCCCCCCTGTATCACTCTTTATACTACGTTACCTGACTTCCTACAGGTTTTGTCAAATTTTCATTTGTTGCCCTGTAGAACAACAAAGTTAGTCTTCGTTTTCTTGCTGTATGAGTGCAGATGGGCTTCGAACTTGGCAAGACAAGAATGTTGAAGAAATATTTTGAAGCAGCTCTCGAGTCGAGTGCTACTGTACTGAATCATACGCACATGTGTTAGAGTTTGCAAATGTAGGGTTACCATCTAGACACGGCCGATAAAATGTTGGGCTGTGGACAGATTTAATGTACATTTGTTATTCTTTGTGTATTTTTATTTTTTTAGATTGTATAGATTTAGACATTTTATACTAAAGCATTCTGTAAACGGTTGCATTAGTTGCAGTGCTGCTTCCTTCTAATTTGATTAAACCCTCTTAAATAAATCCCATCAGGAAACATAAGTTGAAATGTTATTGTCCATCCGACCTATTTCCATTGTATATGTCTTCATATCTAGTTTCTTTATTTTTCTGACAAATGTACACGCCTTTAACCTTAATACACACAAACACACACTTTACACACATAGTCTCTCACTTTCCTCTGGGAGGTGTACAGGAAAGCTCTGGTTTGTCTTGCAGTATGGTGTTCAGTGTGTTTGCATCTTCATTTCTGTGTGGGTGTTTATGTGTCTCAGAGGGGAGCCGCAGCTGTGAATGCTGGCTCAAAAATATGAACTCCACACACACACTGGAGAGGACAGGGACTGTCAGTTTAACTGTCAACCAATGTAACAGTTCCTTTCCTGCTCCAGAAAAGTCTCAATTGTAATGTCTCAAATGCAGGTTGAGTATCACAGCTCTAAGTCGGTAAACATGCACACTATTATAGATGGATTATTTAGTCCAGCAGACAGAGAAGACCAACTTGAACTGAACTGAAAAAGCAGGGTATGCATTAGGGCGTAGCTACCTTCTGATTGACAAGTCGCTACAACAGCAGCCAAACAAGATAAAGGCAAATCATATCCCATGTACTGTGTACATTTAACTATCTGTGGTCTAAGAAATGTGTTTTTAGTTCATGAAAGTTGATGATAACTTTTTGGTTGCCTAAAAAATCTTTTTCAGCGTTTGGTTGTACTAAACCACTAAAATTCGGCTGTTAATTTTTTCTGTAATTTTTTTTAGTACATTTTGCTTTAAGCCTTTTTTTTACTAGCCAAAATTAGCATCCCAATAAATATCACAGTTAATGTGAATTACAAATGCACCCTAGCTAGCTAGCTCCACTCTCTCGTCCGAATATAGTCACCAAAAAACCAAGATGGCGATGGCCAAAATGCCGAACTCGAGGCTTTCTTTTATACAATCTTTGAACAAGACAATTGAAAACATGATGGACCTTTTCCACCATTTTCTTTTTGTTTTGTAGTATAAATAATCATTGTATTAATTTATTAATTGAGGAAAATTATCAGTAGATTAAATGACAATGACAAATATGTTTATTTGTAGGCTTGTTTCATACAGCTACATATACTATGCCTCAAAACATACTCTAATTAACAACATTAAAAGTGAGTAAAGTTTATTATAAGTAGTGCTGGGCAATGATTAAAATTTTTAATCGCATTGTTTATGCGCAAAATAGAATAAGAAAAGATTGGAAGAGAGACTGATCTTTGCTGTTTGTGAGTGTCCAGAATCTAAATAGTTATCAGGACATTTACAGGAGGGAATTCGCATCCCGCAAAACTAGATGAAGGCCTATCGGATATAATAATAATTATTTTAAAAAACTGCATTAACGTGTGATAAAATAACAATAACGCGTTAACGTGCCCAGCCCTAAGGGGTCAAACGAAATGAACTCAACTGAAAGAGCTGAAGCAGCAAGAAATGAAAACATACCAAACAAATAAACGGAAAATAACGCATAAGCTTCACTGTATCAGGACTACTTAATCTTAAATAAACCACATTATCAGAAGGGAAAATGGGGAAAATGGAACAATCATCAAACCTGTTCCAAAACACTCGAAAAAGCAACTTGGATACATAAATTCAATACAGATTTCCTCACATAAACCTGAAGTTGCATAACCACCAATATCTCTTTATTCTACCACAGAGATTTCATGTTTGCAAAGGGCTTAATTAACAAAAAGCATTCTCAATTTCCGATGTGCTCCAAATTTGCCTTGAAGGAGTGATTCTATGGCAGCCAGAATGACTCTCAAAAGGAGGCATTTGTGTTTACAAAGATTGGACACCTACATTTTGTCAGGGTAGAAATGTTTCATCTAGCAGAGATGGATGAAAGAGATCGTTCTTTGTTAGTCAGACAGAAGTTAATGTCAGACAGCTAGCTGTAGACATTCTGGAGGTGAACATAAACAATAATTCTGCTTTATTAAAGCTTCGATCTTATTTTTGTTAAGTTAAATATGAAAATACTTCCATTAAGCATAACGCAAAGATAACATTTATGTAAATGTTGCTAAATCCTTAATGTTTATCAGTCCTATCAGGCTGTTGAAGCAGTCAGAATGATTCGTTAGCATGTTTCACTTTTGACTGTTAACTCATGCGGGTCTGTCAAGGAACATTTTGTTACTTATGGCCACTTGAAAACCACAGTGGAAACGTGCCTACAAACATGTGTGAACATGTCCACTTATGCAGACACCCAGTGTAATGTTAACAGAACCGCATGCATGTCCCCTGCCCATGTTGGTTTTTGAACTCTCAAAAAGACACGCAAGAAACTCGCTAGCCTAGCAACATTAAGGCCACAAACAACTCATTATGCCAACACATTGTAATGTAAAAATGCACCAGGCTCACTTTGCAAGGGACCGAATCTCACTGCGTTCAAAGACCACATTTTGCTGTTATGTCATTGTCTAATTCTCAAATATAATATGAACCCCTCTTTCAAATGTAATATCCAGAAAAAAATAACAATATCTGTTGAAACACTTTACATACCATTTCCCAAAAAACATATATTATATATTATCCAAACTGTATTTCCAACATATGTAACTGCTTACTTTTCACATTAAGAAACAAATCAGATTATTCCAGGAGAATTGCCTCCATGTCTGTGAATTAGTGGATGTAAGAATTAACATCTTATATTCAGTTCAATGTGGTACTTTGGTAAGTATAATGTTATCTTAACTGATAGAAACGATGGCCAAGGCTAAAATAAGAAGGAAGTT